GTCGGGCTCCGGAGCCAGGCCGGCCGCCCCACTTCCATTCAAGGCAAGAGAAGGCGCTGCCGTTGCCTTGAATGGAAGTTGGGAGCGAGAGGAGGTAACGGGGGCTCCGGCACGGGCAGGATCAGGCCCCTTAAAATAAGGGATGCTTTTGTTGGAGGAACCGCTTTGTAGCTGGTGTGGGAAGAGATGGAGGGCGGCATGAAGCGGCAGATCATTTTTCAATGAAAATAGCGTACAGCTGTGCCTGGCGGTCTTTGTGCACGGCTCAGCATTTGCTTTCACCCAGGGAGAAGTTGGATTGCGTGATTTATCTGCCCGATTTCTTCTTTTCCTCAACCCCTCCTTTCCCTCCGCCCCCCCTCTTTTTTTTTCTCGTTAGCCTTCTGCTGCAGTTAATTTAGGATTATTTTGTTCTTTAAAAGATAAAAAGAAATTATTTTGTTGCTGAGAAGGGGCTGGCTGCCGTAGAGCCGCAGTGAAGGACGAGGGAATCATTACTCAAAAGAAAAAAACCCAACAAAAAAACCCGGGGATTTGTGGTAGCACTTTAATTTGTGCACTTGACATTGCAGATTGGAACCAGATGCCGTGCTCGCTGGGGGAGGGGGGGGACACTGGTGGCAATAGGTGGCGCAGGGAGTTATGGCTTGAACCCAACACCTTGGCCAGCCTGGCTTCCAGCCAGCACCCGGCTCACATCAGAAATGTGGGAGAAGACTTGGGATCGCCCCTCTGGTTCTCCAAGGATGGTGTTACGTGCCAGCACATCTTCAAAGAGCCTTGCTAATACCATTAGCGTTTGCTTTCCCTTTCCCCAGGACTGGGCCACCCCAGGGGAAAGGTTGTCCTGGATCTAAAGGGTTTAGAACTAGTCCAGTTATGAGCGTCCGAACTCTTTGCAATGAGCGTATTGGAGCACTGCTGGGCGCCGATCAAATGATGCACTTGAAAACAAGAGATAAACCTTCCTCCTGCCTCCCCTGCTTTCCTCAAAGCCAGAACAATTAAAGGGTGCGAAGCTGAACAGACGATGGATAAGCAACATTATAATACACAGAGGGAAACCGATTGCCTTGACCGTGGGTTAATGAGTGCCTTAGAAAATCATTGCTTATTGCTTATTTTATGCCATCAAATTACCTTCATAAATAGCCTTAAAATTCGTCTCGCAGCAATTTTACACAATTATAATGGGAGAAGAGGAAGAATTATTCTTCCTTCCTGCTGCACTGCAAAACTAATAAAAGGGCCTGGGAATTTTGCTGTCTGTATGGTAGACTATAAGCTCACAATGTGCAGCAGAACAAGGCAGTTCCCACACCACAGGCACTTGTTGGCAGAGCTGTTCCGTCCCATTGTGTGAACAGATGTGATCTCTGACTAACATCGCTGTGGTGGTGAACATCCCCTATTACACTGGCAAAGCCATCCTTTCACCGAAGTGGCCCGTTTCATGTGCGCAGGTCTGGTTTGGCCCTATCATACAATACAGCTTTGTCGTCGCAGCTGGGGTCCTGCAAAGGTCTTCTTAAGTTGTGGAGCGTGCTCCTCATGTAGAACTGGCTGGAAGAGGCTGGAATGAAGTGTCGGCATAATTCTTCAGTTAAGTATTTATCCAGAGCGTCTATCTAGGATTTCAGGGCTTTGTTCTGGTTTGGGTTTTTCTGTAAAAGAATGTCGACAAGGTATTTCCATGATGCTTGGATGGAGAAGGCTGACTGTCTTTGGATCCCCTTCATGCCTGCCCCGCTGAAGGAGTTGATGTCATTTGCCTTCTTATTTTCCAGAATTGCTTGAGGAGGAGGGACGCTGGCCTACTAAATCAGTTACAAGAGCTAGATAAGCAAATAAGTGATCTCCGCCTGGACGTGGAAAAAACGACAGATGAACACCTTGAGACAGACAGTCGTCCAAGTTCAGGTAAGGCCAATATTCAGCAAAATGGAGCCTCCCTGGGTACCGGGAATTAAACTGGCTGTAGTCTTCAGTACTACAACAGTAAATGTCTATAGCGTGTTCACACTCTGATAATTAATGCCTACTAGCAAAGTTCACCTACCACTGGAAAGGTTGCTGTTGGTAGACAATGTATTCAGAAGAGTGTTTCAAGCTTAATTAGATTTTTAGTGTTTGCGGCATTTGTTATTTCAAGGCCACCCACAAATCAGTTCAAAAAGTTCTGATTCTCCTGCGTATTAGGAAGGAGGCTGCAGGAAAAATGGTGAAAGGAAGCACCATCAGCAGGAGGAAGATGTCAAAATTGATCTTACAGCCAGAAGGGAACACTGAATCAAACAATTTGATCCCCCATATATTGAATTTCATCCCATTCTAATGGTGTTGAAGACAGTAAGTGGTGTTTAACTATGGGGAACCTTTCCTAGAGGCATCTAGACTTGTTCTGAAGACACTAAGAAGTGCAGAATCCACCAACTTGCAATTGTTAAAACCATTGCTAATTTCTAATCTGAATTTTATTTGTTCCAGCACTGATCTTTTTATATGCTTTTCTCCCATAGAGTAAGGTCTTTTCTAGTAGCCAGCTTTTTCTCCTCTTGGAGGTGCTATACAGTACAGTTCCTGACTTCTTTTGATGAGCTAAACAGGTCAAGTTCATGAAGTCATTTGTTTTAAGGCATTTTTCCCAGCTCTTAAATAGCTTTATGGCCCCTTTCCAATTTTTTTAGCTTTGTTTTAAGTGTGCTGGATTTGAGGACTAGGCACACCGTTCCAATGTCTTTCTTACCAGTGCTGTACAGACTGCTGAAGTAATTTCACTACTGCTATTCATTAGTCTCTTTGTACATCCACCAGTCTCATTAGCTTTTTTTTTGCCATATCATTAAGCTTGATTGAGCTGCTTTTCCACGCTGACTAAGTCCTTTTCAGGATTATTGTTTTCCAGGATGCATCCCCATTCTGTAGACAGGCCCTGGATTCCTTATTCCTAAATGTACAATTTAAATTTTGATTACAGTCTGTCATATTTTTCTTGAGTAGCCCCAATTTACCAGGAAATTAAATTTTCTGTGTCTGCACATTAATTACCATTTTCCTTCTTTCATGTCATCCACAAATATTACATTTATCTCCAGAACTTTGAGGAAAATAATGGATAGCATTGGACCCAACACTTGGTAAAAAATTTGTAGTCGAGTAATAGCTGGAGAGTCTGTCTCAGATGTATAATAAGCTATTAAATGAGCGGGCTGTCAAACACAACCTGGATCCTTCTTGCTAAAGTCTGAAAACCCCTGTAAAGGGTAAAACCCCAACCCCTGTAAAGGCTAAAAAAAAGTTCAAAATTTCATATGCTAAGTAAAGTTCTGCTTTTTTACTTTTAAGTGCTTTGCTTTTAAACGGAGTCCTTCACAGCAATAAGGATATTACTAAATTGTGCACTGTTTTTTGGGTGACTGAATGAAATCCCATAACTAATTGCAATAGAGTAAGCCAACATAAACATGAGTTTGACTGCCTTTCTAGGGATACAAATGGTAACTTTGTGTAGACATAACTAATATAAATCCAAACTCTTATTTTTATAGGGTTTTATGAGCTGAGTGATGGAGCTTCTGGATCGCTCTCCAATTCGTCAAACTCTGTCTTCAGTGAGTGTTTATCCAGTTGCCATTCTAGCACTTGCTTTTGCAGCCCTTTGGAGGCAACACTGAATATCTCAGATGGACGCCCTAAATCTGCAGGTATAGTAAAAGCAGGTCGAATACATCATACTCCAGGAGGTGGCTTTGGCTTTGGAAATACTGCCTCAGGAGTATCTGGGTTGGATTAACCCTTCTTCTTTTCATTTGATGTATTGTGCTCTGCAAAGATTCCAGTGCCTATCACATACATGGGTCATGAGGCAGGACCGCTTCCCCTCCATTAGTCCAGCCTTACATGTGAATATGTTGCTCTAAACACAGGAGAAGAACATGTGGAAATATGACAGCTGCTCTACCCAGTAGAGGGCAGTGGTACCTATGCACATAAACATGTTAGTCGGCTAATTTCTCATCGTTTCCTTTAGAAAAGCATTTTTACTAAATAGCAATAGTGAAAGATAACCTCAACAGCCATGTCCTCATTAAAGTGGCAGAGCAAGGAGGTAGCTACAGGTTTTAGGAGGTCAGGGTACATGTCAGTCTGTTTGTAGCTGTCATTTTGTCAGTTCTGATGGTCCTCAACCGCCAGGTGACCATGCTGAGGTGTGTCCTGCATTTATATAGTGCGGACAAATAGGCATGATGAGCAGGGGAAAAGTATTTTGTCTCTTTGGCAGAGCTGTTGACTTTCCTTGCACACTAGACTGAAGATGCAAGCCTTAATGTGTGGGACGGTTAAACAGGAGGGTGAAGGACACTTCATCAGGACTTTTGTGATCAAACATTATTGGTTGCAGCCATAGTCACTCAAAAGCCTTAGTTCGTTCTGCATTGTGGAGGATGCTCCTAACCATAGTATTTCCAATTTCCATTCTGCTCTTTATGGTTAACTTACAGTAATATTTTTTTTTTTTTCTTTTTTTGTGAATCGAAGACAAAATAATTCAAGTTCTAACTCTAAATTGGGAAAATACAGCCTGGGATACATTCATTCTGAGGTGCTGAGAAGTATTCTAAGTTATCCTTTGAGCAGCTTGAGGTATTTTAATGCTCTCTGATGTAAGGTATATGTAATCTTCGTCAGCCATACATGAAAAGAAAAACATACTCAAGGATTTCCAGCAGATCTCATTGCTGGTTTTTTTTCTGTATACATCATGATGACCTAAGCCTGTGTTTATTCACACCTCTCACCTTTAGAGATGAGATTTCACAAACTGGCCAGTTTCAAAGAAGTGGTTTTCTTAGCATTTCCTGACTCCAACATAGAATTTAGGAAATGTGGGAAAACTGTGAGGTGATCTGGAGGAAGTTCGTGCTCCTAACTTCCCTGTTCTTCCTCTCCTGCTCATGCAGGAACATCATCTTTATCAGCTAATTTCGTCAACGACTGTGAGACCTCTTTGGAAATAAGCCTTAGATAAGTGATGAGCACTGAGCATTCAAATTTGAGTACCCTGGCTGAAGTTTCTAGCCCAAGGGTAGGAAACAGGACTGACAGTGATCTAGAAGGATCATTTAGATTGTACCCCTACTCAAGAAGAGACGGGCGACATAAGCTTAAGAAAATAACAATCTTAGATGCTTGGATTGAAGCCCTGCTCCTAAGGTCGCTTACCCCCAAGTAAGTGCCTTAGCCATTAAATCTGACTCATGCATCCTGAAATGCACTGGATTTCTCTTACAGAACTCTCTTTGCAGAGCCAAGGCTAGGATGTCAGCTGGATTGACCTGCACTCCTTGTACTTGTGTGGAAAAATGAGCCTGTTTCTCATTTTTTAACCCTTTATTGCTCAAAAGGAGCATCTGTTACTATTATTAGCATTATTGTAATTATAAAATAATACTGTGATGATAAAAATACTAGTAACGATAATAATAACAAGAAAATTAAATCTGGATTTTTTTTTTTTTACCCAAGATACGCTTGAAAAAATCTGGAAGTGAAATTTGTCAATAAGCTAAAGGAATTCGTTGGACCCTTGTCTATATTTTTTATGTTTCCCTTTGGATTTAGCAAAGTAAAATACAAAATTCAGATGTGCTGGGTGGGGCCCACAGTGAGTTTTAGAGGTGTCTGTGTAGCGTATAAACGGAAGAGACCCTTACAGACTTCTGGGCGGCTTGGAAGTAAAACAGGAAGCTCTTAGCAACCTAGGCACAGGTTTGAAACCAAAGTAAATGTTCTTATTAGGGCTGTGATTTTTATTTTTTTAGCCATGTAGTCATATTGAGGCAAATCCTACATAGATGCAATTACAAAGAGACCCACAGAAGAATAGTGCTGCCTCTAGATCGCTTAAGCAGCATCCCTGGTTGCATGGTCTCCACTGTTTGAACAGTGCTGCTGTTGTATAAACATTGCATCGTATGTGTAGATGGGACCGGAGTCCTTGATGGCACGTGAAAAACGTAGCAGAACTGTCCCTGGCAGGCTCTCTAAACTCTTCTAAAATGCCTTTCAGATCTCATAGGCTGGATGGACTATAATAAGGAAGGCCAGCATGAGGACCAGACCGCAGGCTCTGTCTGTCGCTCTTTGTCCACACCGCACTCAAATTCCCTCGATGTCGTTGCAGATGTACATCCAAAGTACCAGTGCGATCTGGTGTCTAAAAACGGGAACGATGTCTACCGGTACCCCAGCCCACTCCACGCAGTAGCTGTGCAGAGTCCCATGTTTCTTCTCCCCGTGACTGAAAACCCCCAGCGAGAAGAGGAGAGGCTTGGTTGTGATATTAGTGACGTTTGCGCCGGATCTGAAACGGACTCAGGAAAATCCGCCAACACCTTTCTGCCGCAAGGCTCCTGGATGGCACCGTGCCCTTCCACCAGCAAGAGGATAGACGGTTACATCTTAAGCCTGGTTCAGAAAAAGACTCACGCGGTAAGGACTAACAAACCGAGGACGAGCCTCAACGCCGATCCCACCAAAGGGATCTTGAGGCATGGAAGCATGTGCGTCAGGCAGCCTGCAGGGGTGGTGGCTCACGGTAACGTTGTGAACCTGAAGAGCTCCAAGCAAGTGTGCTTGCCTTCTGGTGGGACCACCGCTCTGGACCACTCAGCACCCTCCCCGTTAAAGCAGAGGCCGAGGGAGCCGGCTGGTGAGCAGCTGGAGAGTAGGAAGGCACCTTTGCCGGTGGCTTTCCCGCCCAGCACAGCGAATGAACTTCAGAGCAAGCACCTACTGCGGGGTGTCAAACCAGCACCCCCGGAGCTCAACCGCAACGCAGTGGCCATGGCAGGGGACGTCCCCAAGGAGAATAGCCAGCTCTTTGCTGCGTCTCCCAAAGAGAGCCCGGGGAAGACCGTGGTGCTGCAGCCAGAGAACAGGGTCAGCCAGCCTCCCAAAAAAGTCCTGCTAAAGAGCAGCTTGCAGGTGGCTCGCTCCTCATCACCTGCCATAGAGGAGAGGCCTGTGGTGGATTTCAAAAGTGAGGGCTCTTCCTCCCAGAGCCTGGATGATGGGTTGCTGGTCAACGCTCAGTACATACCGGCCCAGCAGCAAAGTGTGAAGCTTCATAAAGGCACCCGAAACGTCAAGATTTTGAAAAGCTCTGCGCTGAAACACAGGCCCCACCTTGCCAACGGGCTGGAAAACGGCTCGCAAACCTTGCGGGAGAAAACCAAACCGGTGGGCAAGAAGTGCCGCTTTCCTGATGAGTTGGATACAAATAAGAAACTGAAAAAGCCCTCCTCACGGGGGAAGAGAGGTGGTGGCTTGCAGCCGGAGTCGGGCCTCCAGAGTCGTCAGGCTGGCCTGCACAAGTCCACCATCCGATCCCACGGGCATGGCCGAGAGGTTGTGGTGGCCAAGCCTAAACACAAGCGGGCTGACTACCGCCGTTGGAAGTCGTCAGCGGAGATTTCCTACGAGGAGGCTCTACGGAGGGCGAGGAGGAACCGGCGGGAAGCTGTGGGGGTCTACTCGCAAGTCCCCCTGCCCTACGTCAGCCCGTACGCCTACGTGGCCAGCGACTCGGAGTACTCAGCGGAGTGCGAGTCCTTGTTCCACTCCACCGTGGTGGACACGAGCGAGGATGAGCAGAGCAACTACACGACAAACTGCTTTGGAGACAGTGAGTCGAGCCTGAGCGAGGTGGAGTTTGTAGGGGAGAGCACGACCACCAGTGACTCTGATGAGAGCGGGGGCCTTATTTGGTCTCAGTTTGTCCAGACGCTCCCCATCCAAACGGTCACGGCGCCGGAGCTGCATGAAAATGCGGCGAAGGCCTTTGTCAAAATCAAAGCCTCCCATAACCTCAAGAAGAAAATCCTCCGCTTTCGGTCGGGCTCCCTGAAGCTCATGACAACCGTCTAGTGAGGTGACTTGGTGGAATGTATCTGCTTCTGCTTTTGGAAGCAAGGTGCTTTTGTGTACATATTTCCACAGATTTTTTTTTTTTTATACAAATATTTAAAACTTAAGGTAAATTATGTCACTTGTCTTCAGAACTTGGGTGGATACTAGTGCCTTTTACGTGGAAATAAAAGACCATTATACTCGTTTTAAAAAAACCCATAACACTGCCATTTCAGTGGTGAACAGCCTCCAGTGCATGGTGTCAGAAGGCTTTGAAAAAAAGCTAATGTTTCTGGGAATAGATCTTCCTTGCCTAGTTTTTCCAGTTCTGGGTCTTATACAAGATATCGACAGCTTAAGGTCATAAGTTTTAAGAGGATAAGGGGGAGGGAGTGTGGGTGGTCTTCATGATTTTGCTTGTTCCTTTCTGCTGCTCCTGTTGTCACATCTCGAACTTCTTCCTCCTGATAGCCTGGCCTGTTTTGGTTTTTTCTTTTCTTGTTGATTCTATTCTTGAAGCTCATCCCTGTCCTCCCCCAGCCTTCACCGTCCCCCCTGGAAAGGGCTCCTGTTCAATCTGTCTCCAAGGTTAAGTCGCCTTCTCTGGAGTGCACTCTGCTCCGACCTCCTGGGAGTCCCGCTGCGGATGGCAGTGGTGGTCAGAGTGAACTGTTGGAGCAGCTGACCAAGGCTTAGTAACTTCAGTATATTGTGTAAAACTGCTTTTGAAAAAGAAAAAAAAAAAAACATATGCATGTCATGTGCATGAGTATCAGTAGTTTTAATATTCCTGTTGATGTCCAATTTACTGTACATCATCAATGGCTGTTTTTATATATATATCATTGTGTAAATTAATATAACACATCATATGCTGTAATAAACAGTCTGTTTTAATACTTTTTTAAAGTTTGTTACATTGGTGCAGACCCAGCGAATGGTTTTATATTGGCATTGTCACCACTTAGATGTCTCCCTGATGTGACCTGTTAATGTTCCCTGTATTTAGCCATGCAGGAGACGGAGCAAGTTTTAAATGTTGCTGTGGATGTGACTTGTGCTTGGAGGGAACTGGATTGTCATAGCTCCTCTTGTTCTTCCCATAACTTGCATTTTTTGAGGAGCTCAGAGGCATCTTCAGGCTGTTGCTTACAGGCAGCTCATGTTGCAGAGCAGGTGGAAATGTAGTATTAATCCTCCTGGCTGTCAGGGGGCTTGCAGGCTTTGGTTGGTACAACATAGGGCCATATGGTAAGTTTCTATAACCAAATAGATGTGTGTAATGCAATAGGTGATCCTCTGAAACGTCCAGTAAATGCATCCCCAAGAGCTGTGTGCTCTGGGAGCTGGGCTGGGTGGAGGAGAGCATAGACTTGCCGTCTCCAGTGCCCTCTTTAGATATGGTAGCTGACTGTATCACAACCCTGACAAGGTGATGGAAAGAAGTGACAACTGTGTCACCCGCTGGTCTCTATCTCAGTTTCTTTCTTCCTATAGGACTGGAGGTGAGTCCCTGCCAGCAAAGGAGAAAGGAGCTAACTGTAGACAGCACTGCTTCCCTCTGCAGCAACAGATTCGAAGCTGCCTGGAGGGAAGGCTGGAGGGTTATGGTGCGTGCATGTCTGATGGAGCAGGCCCAGAGGATGGGCTGGTTTCCTGCAGGTTCATCTTTGCTCTGGCATCCGTGGAGTGGTGGGCATACAACTGGTGTGGATGCTGTGACTGGCTGAATTTCAAGGATAACCGTGCAGCCCGTCCATTCCATAGGAAGATCTGCTGAGCAGACACCTTCCTTTGTGGTTCCTCTGTGTCCTTCCTGCCGTCACCCACCTGAAAGGCAGAGCAGTTTTTTTCTCGGGTCTCCTTGCATTGCAAATGTGGGAAGGAGAGGTCCACCCAGAGTTAAACGTCTCTGGGAGCAGCTTCTGAGACAGTGGTAACGCTTTTTCTAAGTGTCAAATTTTGGTTTTTAATCTGCAGTGTTGTGGATCCCTATCTATAAAATGTCTCCCTCTTATTTCCCCCCCCCCCCTTTTTTTAATACAGGAGTGTGAGATTCTGTAAGGGGTCTCACAGTATGCTCACAAGGTTCTGGGTTCAGTGACCCAGAAAGTCCTTGTGTTTCCATCTCCCATGATACAGGGAAAGCTGTGACTTGCCTAGCTCGTCTCAACTCTCCCATTACTTTGCACACGGAAAGGCAGATTTTATATATATGTATATGTATAAAAATTTCATATATTGATACAGAATAATTTGTCCAGAAATTACTGGGCAATGACTGCCACTGCAGGGAGGGGAGAGAAGAAATGTTTGTTGTTAAACGTGGCATTACTGAGGCTAAGCAGCAGCTTAATCCATTCCCATTAGTAACTGATGTGTGTTATATCAAACAAAGGGAATGTCAAGAAGCTTGTTGAAGCTGGTAGTTTCTTTCCTAGAATATCTCTTAATCATGCCACATAATCTCTCTTTGAGCGAGAAAAAACACATGCAAATCCCTGTAAATCTCCTCCAAGGTGTAGCAGAGGAGTAGAGAGGATCTTCAGATGTGCACTCCGTCTCTCTGGCTGTAGAGGAGCCGCTGGTGGGGAGACGAACCGCCCAGTGGCTTTGGGATGATGAGTTTTTAATTGCAGTGCTATAGCAGATTGTCTCGTACCAGGTGAGAGAGGTTTGTTTCCAAAACTGAGCTGCTGAATAGTTTCTTTTGAGATAATTGAGGGGGGAGGAAAATAAAAAAAAAAGAAAATAATCACCTAAATATCACTAAGACTGTATCAGCTGCAACCACTGTATTCTGCAGTGCTCCTGTTGAATAGCTTAATACCGGACGGGGAAATGGGCTGATGCTATCTCTATCCTAATTGCATCCGAGTCTTTTCAGTTTGGAGAAGGAATTTTCCTTTTCTTAACACTATTTAGGTAAGCATCCAGAATCCTTTAAACAAGCCTATTTTTTTTCTCCCTATGTTGCCCCTCCCGCCCCCCCCTTTTTTTTTTAAATAAAAGATCTTACAGTGCTGGAAAAGTACTTGATATGCTCCCAATACACAGCACACATTCTCTTCTTTGGTTCTGATTTAGGAAACGCATCTAAGTAAGTTTTTGCAATGTTAGGTTGAAAAACATCTGCTAGTCTTGGAGACCAGTTAAATATCTGGCACTTCTTTAAGCTACCTGGCTTTCCATCTCCATGGCCTTGAGTCCTTGCCAGTGTATTTTTCATCATGTTTGCGTTTTAATTATCCCCAGTGTTAATGCTCGTCTTTGGAAGTTCGAAGCGGGAACATTTCCTTGCACTGGGGCCTGTTTCAAGGTGGGGGCAGGTTGTGGCGGTGGGGTTTGGGATTAGCTACCCCTGTGCTCCATATATAACAGTGCAGGGAAGCGTGGAAGCATATGTTTAACATAAAGAACAAGAGCGGCTGTAGCTGGATTCCTTGCGATTCAGGTTCTATAGTGTCGCCGCATGTCTCTTAAAAGTCCCATCGCTCCCGGTGCAGGAATCGGCGTCGCGCACATGATGAGGTGCTGTCATTTGAAAGGGAATGAGAGCGTCGCTGGGCTGTCTGCCTTCCAGCAGGCTTTTTTTGGAGCCTGTGTTCTGGTCCCTAACCCCAGCCACCAGCTGTGGGTCAGCAGATCCTGAAGCGAGCGGTGTCTGGTGCGTGCGGGGCCAGAGAGGGGCCCTGGCCCTGTGCCTGGATGTCCCAACTGCCTGGGGCCCCTGTTGTGGGTATCATGCTTGTCGTGAGAAATGTGATGTGGTGCAAGGGTTTGGACAGCTGGGTCTGAAGGAAGGTGGCAACAGAGAGCCCTGTAAATGGAGTGGTCTGATCCTGATTTGTCTGTATTCCTTGGAGAGGCTGAAAGAGGAGGTGTTTCAGTCTAACGCCTAGCTCAGTAAGTTGGACTGGGCTAAACAAGAGTCGTCTGCAGGACTCTGCCTCATTTCTTCCAGTACTCTTTAAATGATCAAGGCCACTACCGGCACTGCCAGTTCCTGAGGTGCCTTAACCGTCTGGCCAAGTCCTGCAAGAGCCTTACTGGAGCAAGTGATAAGCTCCTGTCCCCCAGGTCTGTCTTTGGCCTTCCATAGCACAACCCCTGCTTGCAGAGAGCCTGTAGGTCCCAGCAATTTGCAGCTTTCCCTGTCCTGGGGCTTCAAGAAGGAATCTGTCCATCCCTTTGAAGTTTTCTAGTTTTCTCCTGGCTTGGGGCTATCCTGGATAAGGATTGACAACGGATTGTCCACGACAGAGTCCTGTGCCTTCACTAATCCCCAATCCGTCTGTTTGTTGGCTCTGAGAAAGGTCAGGTGCTCCTCAGGTGGCAGCCAGCAAAGCCATCCCTGAGGGACCTGCATCCCTTTCTGCCACCAAGGGCAGCAAAGGCATTTATCAGCTGTGATTGCCACTTGGCCAATGACTCTCCATGCTGGGCATGGCTCTCCCTCAGCATATGATTTTTCTCACAGGAGGCAACAAGGACATGAACATTCTGAGGAGGCTGAAACAGCTAAAGACATATTTAACAGCTAACTTCAGCATCTAGCACGTACCTTTGGGGTAGCCAACAACAATATACACAACTGAGCTGCTAGTACAAAACCCAGAACTGTTCTCAACTCTGCAATGTCCTGTACATGGTGCGAAGAGGGTACAGAGACTGCAAACCAATGGAGACAATTCATAAACCCCATGTCTATCTTTCAAATGTGCTTTTCTCCTGAATTTCTCTGAACCTCCAAGTAATTGTGTTGAGGCTCCTTGCATGGCGTGATGTTTCTTTCTCTAAACATTACAGATGGAGCACTGTGGGGAGAAACAATTGCTCTGGGGTTTAAAAAACCCCGCAATGCTGGAATGAGGGGAGACATAGGGAAGCAAGTGGGAGATCCGTTTAAGAGGGATAATAGAAAGTGCTTTTTTACACAGCAGGGAATTTGCTGCCACAGGGAATAGCAAGGCAGATGTTATATCGGCAAGTTCAAAGGGATTAGAGAAGGTAGGGAA